GTTGTGTTTTGTCCAGGGTCCAGGTTTGGTCACGGGCAAAGACAGTGACTGTGGGAATCACCCTTCCTAACATTAGCACCCTCTTTCCTCACCAAGCAGAAGGCCCTGAAGCTCCTGTATCTTGCCCACTCCTCCCACCACCACTGCTGGAACACATGCTGGCAACCACCTGTGTTCCCCTTCATTAGCATAAAATTGCTGTTTTGTGGGTGGCCTAGGGGTACAGTCAGCCATACATATGTCCTGAACACATCCCCATGTGACTGTAATCATGTGTGCAGAGCGAGTGTACTTGTGGGGATGAGCATGTGGAGAGGAACAGAAGGAGGCTACAGATGAGTAACAGCACACACTGCTGTTACTAAATACTGCTGTTACTGCTCATACTAAATACTAAGTATTTTTTAAATGCTAAAAATATTGGCTAAAAATAGCAAACTCCCAGGCAAGATACTTTGTCTAGGCAGATTCTGGGTGGGTCCCTGATAGGTGAGGGGGATAGAACACCAAACAAAACACAAAGACTTACGATATTCAGGCACTACTGCCCTTAGGGTCAGAGTTGTACCATCACCCCCACACCAGCTGAACACCATTTCCCCACCATTTAGTTACTTTATCCCCATCTTCAAAAAACATCGAAAGTTGAGATTCTGTGAGTTGGAATTGAGTAACTGGGTAGAAGAGGCCAAAAAAGGTTCTTACATGGGGTCAAAAAGGGATAGTAACCTACTGGACCTTATCAAATGTAAGCATTGCTTCTCTCAATAATGGGCCAAATTAGGACTGGAGCGAGGAGAGACGCTGGGTCAGAAGCCTTGAAAATCTATCACTTTGACCTGGGAGAATGGGCCCTCAGACTTTGTGGATGATGGGTCCAAGAGGGCCTGAGTGCCCCGCCCCCTGCCCCCAATGCTGTACAAAACTTTGCATTTCCCCCTAATAGATTACAGAGCTTTCATCGGGTCGTCAAAATGATCTGCAGCGCCCCCTCCCCGACAAAAGCTTTAGGAGTTGTGGGCTGCCTTAGGGGGAGAAGCTCACCCAGCTGACACTCGGTCTTGGGGACGTGTCCTTTACAGGCGTCAAAGACAATTTTCCTGAATCCCAACCCCGAGGCCGGTCCAGGGCTACATGCTCCCGTCCTGCCTTCACTGGAGGGTTGCAAGTCTCTGCTCCGAGTGGGGAATGCCCGGGCCGGGAAAAGCCCGGGCGGGACCAGACCTGTGGGAGGCTTGACTGGAAAATTGGCTGGAGTCTGCTGGGTGGAGAAGGGGGCGGGGCTGGCTTCGCCAGTATGCTGACGTCACAGGGCCCTTGGCTCTTGCAGAGCTGCCAGTCCGCTGGGCCACAGGAGCTGGGTGCTGGGGCGGTTGGCGGCGCGCGCCCGGGAGGTTGAGGCCGAGGAGCGTGCGGTCGGCCCCCCGTAGCGGTTATCCACTGGCACTGCGAGCGGTGTCCCGTGAGCCCCGCTGGCCTTAGCGTCCGGACTGTAGGACCGCGCGGTACACCCCCGCTTCCTTTTGCCTACGTTAGGCGTGGGGCGGAGCCCACCGCCCGCCCCCCAGCATGCGCACCTCGTACACAGTGACCCTGCCCCAGGATCCTCACGCCGCCCCCTTTCCTGCCCCGGCCAAGGAGTTGCGGCCACGCTCTCCTCTCTCCCCTTCCCTGCTGCTCTCCACCTTCGTGGGGCTCCTGCTCAACAAAGCTAAGGTACGCGGGCCCCTTTCCGGGACCCCCCCCCCCCCCATGCAGAGGGCCTGGGGTTCCGCCTACTTCTCCGGACGCCCACCTCTCCCCGCGCCTCTAGCCCGCTGCGCGCCCAGGGCACGGATTCTTCCCATCCCCCACCGCTCCTTTCCCAGGGTCCTGGCAAGGAATGCCCCCACCCCAGGTGATTTCACACTTAGTCTCAGTCCCCTCCCCTCCTTGACATCTCGGTCCCGGAGTTCCTCGAGTCTTCCTCCTGCTCCCCGCCCCCATAACTCCCAGCACCAGGTTGTACTTGGGCTCTTAATTTCTGGCACCTATCGGGATAGGTGCAAGAAAGGATAACCTTGATTATCAGCGTGTGAGGGAACGGGCAGCACGCCGGATTCTGCAGGTGTGACTGCAGAAAGGCCAAAACCCCGCACGAAAGGTTGATTAGAAAGGAGCAGCTTCTTTCATCCCCACTGATCCCAAAGGGCGCCCTCCCAAAGGGTTGGTAACAGGGATCCTTTGACTCTGGGAAGGGCAGAGGGCTTGCAGACCAGTGAAAAAGGGCAAGTTCCTTTTTCTTGCCAGCCGTACCCGAGTTTGCTGTGTGGGCGCCTCATTGAAGTAGCCAATGTAGAGTAATGCTGCGGCTAATGGTGGGCGCTGCCCACATAGGGAAGGAAGAAGGGTCCAGGGCTTGACACATCTTATGTAACAGGCACTACTAGCTCCTGTGTTGGCAGTGCGTGCACTGTCCGTGCCAGGGCCACACCAGGCTCCTTGGCTGCAGCCAGGACTCATGGCTGACCCTCATGACACAGGTGAAGTAAGCAGAAAAGCCCTTTACTGGGGTCTTGAGTGTTAAGACACAAACCTCAAGCAGCCTTTCCTATATGGCCCATATACCCAGGTGTTTCCTTTGCATTAACTCATTAATCCCGAGCCCCTTACTACTTCATTGGAAGATGAATCAGATCTTTTTATTGACGTTTCTGGAACAGTGGCTGCTACTAAGTCAAAATTAGGTTTGCTGATGGCTAATATTAAGGAAGTTCCTGATCCAAACTTTCTCAACTGCTTACATATGAGTTCCAGCATACCAGCTGGAGTCATTTCCTTCTCTCCTGGTGAGGGGCTGGCTGTGCAGGGTCTTTCCCAATTTCTGTTCTGGTTTCTCCCTGTCAGCCCTGAGGTAGGATTGTTTTCCCAGCAAGAAAGGTCGCTCCCAGGACATTTTGTTCCTCTTTGGAATGGAAAGTGCTGACTTTCTCTGAAGCTCCTGATTGCCTATTCATAGCAGAAAAATATCTGGGCTGGACATGCAACAGCCCTGCTGTCTCCTCCGCTCCCACCTCTTGACTCCTATTATCCAACCACCTTCTATGTAGAGTGCTTAGAAATTGGCATGTGGTTTTGAGCTCAGGAAATTTTAGACAAAGGCATGACCCACACACGCACACACTCCCATCCAGAGGAACTAAGGGTCCTAGCAATTCCTTAAACGAACAACTCCCCACCCGCCAGGCCATTAGTAGGGTAAGATCCTCAAGAATAGTAACTATGGACGATGACAGGTTCTTCTTGACCCTCACTCAGCTGGGTCAGAGTTAAAGTGTCAACACCATGGAAAGCCCCACCTTCACTGGTGCTGACTGACTAGTTTCTCAGCTGAGAGCCCACACTAGTAGATGTTGACATGGTCACCAGTGGTAGAACGCTTCTACAGCCTGTTTAGACAGATGTGTGAGGCACGGGGGGGGGGGGGGGGGGGCGCAGGTAAGAATTAATAAAGCACTGCCAAAAATGTGTAGAGTGGGGCAGGTTTTAACATTAGTCCCAAATGTGCAATACAGAGACTTCTGCAATGTTTTTATTGGGCCCCAGGGGAATCCTTCTCTAGGTCTTCCTGAAATGCTCATAAGGTCTTTGTCCAGGGTATTCTTTCTGTTGTGGCCCTCTTACTGGAACATCAGAGTTTAGACTGTCAGAAATATAAGACTAACCATATATGACTAGTCTTGGCAGAGTTCTTCAAGGATGCTTCTACCCCACCTACTGCCAACAGGTGTTTTTCACTAGCTGATGGCGGAAACCAGGTCTCTTCTGGAGATATTTCCTTCTCTACCTGTTAGTGTTAGACCTGACAACTGGCGAAAAGGGTTCCTCTTATTTGTGGGATCAGCATGTCAATTCCTGGGAAGAGCCCTCCTTTGGCTATCCTCTCTGCTCCCCACCTCCTGGAGCTGATAACTTTCAGGGCTTTGAGCTGTCAGCACAAGGCATGAGTAATTGCAGCTAAGTTATTTCAGGCTCCTGTTCTGATCAGGGTTGAGCTGGTTGAGCATGTCCCAGCCAGTGTTTCTCCAGAGTTGCTTGCTCCTAGGCCCCCTCTCTCAGTGGGTGGCAGATTCATCTGTAGACTGCTTCTTTAACACTTTGAGCCTGAGGTTTTCTGATTACTTGGAGGTAGGGCCAGAATTGGCCGTTGACCTGGACAAACCATGCTCAGAGTCCACCACTAGTACCTGTTCTCTCTCCAGCCCCCTCACCAGCCTCCCACAGTGGGGGCAAAAGCAAGAGTGGCACCTTTAGTCAGCTGCTTGCCTCTCTGTTGGCCATAATCTGCCATGATAAGGATTTCCAGCCAGTGGCCAGTCAGGATGTTGAAACCTGAGCCAGGCAGGGAGGATTCTCCCAGGCTTTAATCAGCCTTCAGGACCTGAGCTTACTTGGAAAGAATTCCACCTGTCTCTGACCATTCCTAATAGCAGGCTTACTTAAGGTTCCCACCCACCTCACCCCTGCCACCCCTGCTAAAGATCTAAACTTAGTTAAGATGTTGTGTCATTGAACTTTTCAAGACTTCCATGAAGTGCTCATTACGACAGCTGCTTTACATATTGGACATCTAAAGGTACGAATATTTGAGATAGTACCTGGATTTGGGACCTGAAATTTATTATAACCAGGAATCAAATATGTTCCTGAGTATAGGAATTCCTAGTCTCTAGTTCTTATCTCTAGTGTCCAATATGGCAGAGAATAAAGAATAATGTAAAGGGGGGGGGGAAAGATAAAAGAAAGCAAAGTCCTGAAGAGTATTTTTGTTATGGATTGAAAAGCGACAGGTATTCCTCAATCTTCTTTCCTTCAAGGTATGTAAACTGTAGTTGAAGAGAGCATAATATGTGTGGCCTGATGTTCATGGCTCCAATTGGCAGAGAGTTACATGAGAGAGCCTAGAACAGGCCTAACCTCTTTGCCTTCAATCTCAAAAGCCCTGTGTTTTTTTCTTACAGAATTCTAAGAGTACCCAGGGTCTGGCTGGTCTTCGAAACCTTGGGAACACGGTGAGTTCTTCCCAGCCTACTTCTTTCCTGGGGATATCCCCTACGCTCCCAACTGGGCCAATCTAACCAGAGTCCTCCCAAGGCTCTAGCAGATTCCCTGCCACCAGCAGGAGACACTGCTAAAGAAAAGTCGTCCTTATAAATGTCAGCCTAACTACTTTCCTGGATCTTTCTCCTCAAGAATATCTGTCACTTCCCACCCACTTCTGTCCAGCTCACCCACACCCTTTTATACACCTCTGTAGTCAATAACTAATTATGTCATCTGTGCCAACAGTGGGAATTTGCCTTACTTCCGCCCCTTTCAGTTACAAGGAAAGGAACTTGAGGCTGAGGGAGGATTCATTTCTGGGGTACATGAATCTGAGGGCCTTGGTACTAAGTGAGTAGAGATGCCAAAGTCTGTCTTCCCCTACCGATCATCTGGATCACATCTTGCAGTGTTTCATGAACTCCATTCTGCAGTGCTTGAGCAACACCCGGGAGCTGAGAGATTATTGCCTCCAGAGGCTGTATATGCGGGATCTCAGTCACAGTAGCAATGCACACACAGCCCTCATGGAAGGTAAGGAACCCATCCATGGATGCAGTCCTACTTCCCCTCTGAATACTTTTTCCAGTCTACTGTTTCTGTACTAGTAGTCATGTTTCATATGTATCTCTCCTATTGTTCCTTCTTTGGCTACTTTTTATTGGGATTCTAGTTTCTGAGTTGCTTATAGAAAATGGCTCACCTGTCCTCTACCCTCTATCCTCTCCTTGTAACAGAATTTGCAAAACTAATCCAGACCATATGGACTTCATTTCTTAATGATGTCGTGAGCCCATCTGAGTTCAAGACCCAGATTCAGAGATACGCACCGCGCTTTGTTGGCTATAAGTAAGGGCCTTGCAGGCATGCTCCCCAGGGTGGGTGGCAGCAGCAGCAGCTTCTTGGGACAAGAGAGATGGCTTGCTCTCTTTTCTTTGGGTTCAGTCAGCAGGATGCTCAAGAATTTCTCCGCTTTCTTCTGGATGGGCTCCACAATGCTGTAAACCGAGTAACAGTGAGGCCCAAGTCCAGCCCTGAGAACCTTGATCATCTTCCGTAAGTAAGAGAAGAAACCTGTGGGAAGCAAAAACTTTATGAACTTGAGTTTTATTTTTACTCATGTCTTCATGGGTAATTATTGGAGAGAAATTTTGAATATTAAGGATTTAGCTTGATAGACCTTAGACTTATCAGGGTTTACACTCTGACACAATTGTCTCCCCCTCTCTGGTTCCTAGTGATGATGAGAAAGGGCGACAGATGTGGAGGAAATATCTAGAACGGGAAGACAGTCGAATTGGGGGTAAGTGCATGAAAGCTGGGAATGCCTGTTTTTTTCTGTTAAGGGCTTTTGTCTGAGCAGACCATGAAAAATCCTAAGAATTGTTCTCCCAGACAGTCTTTTTTCTGCCCAGTATTAAACAAACTGAGGCAGGAGCAGTGAGAAACAAGACATATGCAGAAGACCATGTGCTCACTTCCTCATATTTAAGCATCATGTGTCCTTTTCTTCCCCAGATCTCTTTGTTGGGCAGCTAAAGAGCTCCCTGACATGTACTGATTGTGGTTACTGTTCTACAGTCTTTGATCCCTTCTGGGACCTCTCATTGCCCATTGCTAAGGTATGCACCCCAGTTGCCCCACTTTTAAAACACCTACTCTTATCCTTTGGTGTTGTTGACCTCTGACCTTTACTTTTTTTCTCTCCCAGCGAGGTTATCCTGAGGTGACTTTAATGGACTGCATGAGGCTTTTCACCAAAGAGGATGTGCTCGATGGTGATGAAAAGCCTGTAAGTCACCCTTTGTGATAGCAGTTTCCAAGATTGCTCTCTGGAAAGACACTGCAACCACAGATCCAGCCCAGGAGTTCCAGAATGCACACAGTCCTCTCCAGTTCTGTATATCATGTCTTTCAGACATGCTGTCGCTGCCGAGCCAGGAAACGGTGTATAAAGAAGTTCTCCATCCAGAGGTTCCCAAAGATCTTAGTGCTGCGTATCCTTAAGATCCATCAAGGCAGACTTGACTTGAAAGAGTCTGGTGACAAGGGGCCTAGGTGAAGGCCAACAGAATAGAAAAAGGGGGGACTTAATAGCTTTTCTTGTTTGCTCCTTTGTTACCTGAGGGTTACCTGCCCTCCTAGTACCCAGTTTCCTTTATTTTGATTCTGTTCTCGCCACCCTGTCTGTCCTTGACGCACATCAATACCAGATCTGAAGCGGTTCTCAGAATCTAGGATACGAACCAGCAAGCTTACAACATTTGTGAATTTCCCACTAAGAGACCTAGACTTGAGAGAATTTGCTTCAGAAAACACCAGTGAGTATTTTTCAGCAGGAAGGGGAAAAAACAAGGTAGCAGTATCTAAGACACAGATGGGAGGCCAAGAGATGGAGGGAAGCTGCTAGAGAATGAGTTTTGAAAACTAGGAATAGAGGCAGGAGAGGGAGGGAGTGACTCAAGGGCTTGAAATCCTGTTTCTCCCTCAGATCACACTGTTTACAACCTGTATGCCGTGTCCAATCACTCCGGAACCACCATGGGCGGCCACTATACAGCCTACTGCCGGAGCCCAGTGACAGGCGAATGGCACACTTTCAATGACTCCAGGTGAGACAAACATCTCAGACAGGCCACCTGGCTGTCAGACACCTGTACCTTACCCATCTGTAGGGCTTCCACCTTGACTAGACAGAAAAGGTCAGAGCCAGAAAGCCACGCAACACTGAGTCTGCTGCCCAATTGAAAACAACAAAAGAGGTTGTTGGTCCTGAGTATACACTAGAAATTAGAGATGGACCCTCACACTCCCTCAGCCACTCAGCTCTGTCCTGATGGCTCCCTCACCAGGGCTCTGACTTCCTCCTGCTCTCCCCACAGTGTCACATCCATGTTCTCCAGCCAAGTGCGCACCAGCGACGCCTATTTGCTCTTCTATGAATTGGCCAGTCCCCCCTGCCGTATGTAGTGGCGAGGAGCTACATCCCTTTTTCCCTTCCTCGTGGTGGTGGCGCCACACCCTAAGTTTAAAAAAAAACAAAAAACTGACAAACGAGAGAAAAATAAAGTGAACTAAAGCTGCTGAGCAGGAGTTGCCACGGCCTGGTCAGGGTCTGGAGTTGAGAGCCAGGTGCTCCTGAGCTATACCAGGGAAGATCAGCAGGACATGGAGACCAGAGCCAGCACAATACCTCCTTGGCTTCTCTTGTTTGACTTTTTACACTTTTGGTTTTTTCCTGAGTGTAATAAACCACAGCAGTATATGGGGAGATCCTCCTGAGAAGATAGCGCCCTCTAGAGTCTGCTGGGAGGATCACTGCCTGGAAGAGCCACACCTGAGCCTGGTACCAATCTTCACCTGGACCCTGCTCACTGGTCCAGAAGCAAGAAAAACACCCCTGAGCCAAGAGCCCTCTCAACGCTGCTAACTCCAGGGGTTCAGACCAGGGGACATCTTTGAAAAAAGCTGTATTTGGTTTTTAAAAGCCCAGTTTTTTACAATTACCCTAACGTTTTCAGACTAGAAATGCTCTCCTTCACACCTCTTCACAGCTGGGATGTTGTGTGAGTCAGTTCTGTTTGGTTTTTTTTTTTTTTTAATTCTTTAATTACAACTTTTCTAATGCTAGCCCCCAGTGGTGCTAGGTAGGTGTTGTCCAGGCCCCAGGTACAGCCACAGTAGACCTGGAATCTAACAAGTTTTGGGGTTTTGTTTGTTTGTTTGTTTGTTTTTAGGGATTTTAAAAAATGTTTTGGAATATATCTAGTTGCCTCTAAAAATTGTGCCTTTTAGCATTTGGGGACCGGGGGGTAACTGTCCTTCCCTGAAATACCCCTCAGCCACTTCCCTTTCCCTTATGCCATGTTCAAACTAGCTGGGAGAGAGAGGGGCTATGCCGTTAGTTCCTGGCTTGTTTGCATTGCAGTGAGATAAAAAATAGAATAGGTACAAGGATATTTCTTATGATGATAATAGTGTATCAAGTTCTTCCTGCCTACTTCCTCTAACCCATCCCAGTCTGCTCCCCAGCTATTTGAAGGATAGCACAAGCTTCTTATCCCTAGAGCCTCTCTCACCTTTAATTTATTCCCACTTAACTGCTTTTTTCTCCCTGACCTTCCTTCCCCACCCCTACCTTCTCAGAGCCTCCTGGACCAAGTTTCTCAGGGATGCCCATTACACCCCTCAGCTCCCCCTGGCATCATTCTTCAGTCCTACCCTCAGGGCTGGAGCTTAAGTGTTTTAAGACATCTTGCCTCAGCCCTATGATTCTTTCCCATGGATATGATTTTGCCCTAAGCAGTTGGGCAAACTTCTTTGCTGTCCCAGGGAGTAAAGCTGTTCAGCATCAAGGCAAGGAGCTCTGTGCATGGAGCTGGCCTGGCTTGTGCCCCTTGGAGTCTGGAGCATTCCAGTGCTCCCAGGAGGAGGCATCAGAGAAAGACAACCTGAGTTTAACTGGCCTGACACTGTTCTCCAGGGAAGACCTATGAACCTTAGCCAAAGGGCTAGTGTACACTTGTTTACTGTGTAAGCAAGAGTAGAAGAACATCTAATGTGCAGTGGAACCTTGTACAGAATAAATAGCTTTGAGAAATATATTGGTACTGATGGGATCTTCATTTGGGCAGGGAGCCGGGTGTTGAATCCAGAAAGAGCTCCTAGCATATTAGTGGCCAAATATTTCACTGCTTCAATCAGATTGTAAAAAAAAAATTGCGAGTTCTGGGGAAAAAATTATCCACTTTTATTTTAAATTTTTCTGCTAAAAAGCTGGAATAGTACATATTTTGAATACTTCCATCTGGATTCACTGATAAACATATTTTTTGATATTTTAAATGGCACACTTGTTTATATACTCTTACTCTTTTGAGAATAACATTCAGGGGTGAGGTGTCATATCTATTTTAGCATACATCTCCAGAGCACAAGGACACTCCCACATAACCTCAACACTCTTGACACCTAAGAAAATGAGCATATTTAGTAGACATTTCTTTAAATGGACTGCTTTTTAATTGCTGGCTGGGCACTCTGGTGGTTCTCTGTTGACTGACTTGGGTACCTCTACCTCCGATCCGTGATGAGCTAAAATGCCTCCAGCAGAAGCTACACAAAAAAAGTTTGCTCTTAGAGTAGAATGGCTCTACCTGGATGCAGAGTGATAAACACTTGCTCCTTGATAAACAAAGGATTGCAACTTGCCCCACTGACACCTAGAAACAACTGTGTTTACATTAAAGGTTTTATTCTCTTTTTTTTTTTTTTTTTAAAGATTTTATTTATTTATCTTTAGAGGGGAAGGGAAGGAGAGAGGGAGAGAAACATCAATGTATGGTTGCCTTTCGTGCGCCCCCTGCTGGGAACTGGCCTGCAGGGAACCTGCCTGCAACCCTGGCATGTGCCCTGACTGGGAATCGAACCTCGATTGTCTGGTTCGCAGGCCCGTGCTCAATCCACTGAGCTACACCAGCCAGGGCTAGGTTTTATTCTCTTAAAGTGCCTCTTTCAATACATCATCAGGTTTAAACACTTAAAGAGATTCCCTCTTTGGGACATTCAAGGACTTTTCTCCTTTGGTTCTATCTTAATTTTTAGTACCGTTCAGATTTTCCATTTCTGCCACTGATCTTAGAACATGAGAAGCTGATGTCTTCACCAATTGAGCCTACAGTGTTTTTATCAAGATTTTTCCTAACTACCTTTTCTTCTTGACACTGAAAAATCAAGGCCTGTCTGTTTCATGGCTGAAACAGCAGCACCTGATGTCAGACTCACCTAGTAGGGGGAGACAGTAGTGGGGGCATTTTTTTCTGGACATTTTCCAAGAGTAGAAAAGAGGAACTGTCAACAGTGACAAACCCTAGCATTTCTCCCTGGCCTGCCCTGGGAGTGGCCCAGCCCAGAATAAGACTTTAAATACTGATTTTCCCCAAACATAAGTGAATAGGATTGCCTACAAAAATGGAGGCATTAGGCTTATAGCAAAGTGAGTAGGTGAGCCCCAAATCAATGTAAGTTACTATACCTACCTCTCCTTTGAATAGTTTCCCCTAGAGGTGGAAGCCACCTATGAATTTTTGCTGTCTTTCACTGGAGAACAGACTATAGGTAACATCAAGGGTGAGGCTCAGCCCACTTCTCTACCCTTGTTACCAGCTGTCCCTTCTGTACTTAACCTGCTGTGCTTTCTCATTCCCATGGCAACAGGTCCTAGTGCTACACAGATCCCAAACAAAATCTGTCCCGTGTTTATCTTTCAGCTTTGCTTCTTAGCAACTGGGATTTCTTCCCCCATTCTCTGCTTGAGTTCCTGAGTTCCTGCAGGCCTCTCCCTGAGGGAGCTGCTCCCCAGCAACTGCTCTTATGTGACCGTAAACAAGAACCTCCATCTTCCTGAGCCTTAGTGCCTCATCTGTGAATTACGGTGATTGGACTAGTGGACCTTGAAGGTCTCTGTTCAAGTCTTCTCATTCTAAGTCACTTTTTCTCTAAATACCTAAGTTCTCAAGTTCGAAGTTATGAGACTTACATACTTCTGGTTCCCTGGTTCCAGTTTATGAAGTTAGTATATGTATAAAAATATATGTCAGCATATATATACTTTATTTGACAAGTGCCCAAAAATACAGATTACTTTTTTTCCATAAAACTTTAGAGTTAGGAACATAAGGGTTACCTTGTCCATGTTCTCATTTTGCCAATAAGGACACAAGCACTAGAGCTTATGGGTGGTAAAGGCAGGATGGAACCCAGGTATTTTGACTTCCCATCCAGTACTCTTTCCATGAATACTCTCCCTTTTGGGTGAATAATTTACAGTATTTTTCAGGACTTTCTGCATCAAATTTTCCAACCCTGTGTCTATTAGGAACTGAACTGAACAGCAATATAACAAGGGGATCCTACCCTAATCCTATACATCCACACCTACCCAATAGCAAAATTGGCATGATCTATTGCAAACCCAGCCCTAACAGGTCTGGGTTGGGCCCCTCTGAGGGTCCCCATCTTTCATCACTCCGTGGACAGACACAAGCACCTGTATGGGAGGCAGAAAACAGCAGAAAGAGACTGGCATTTTACAGTCTGGGCAAATTACTTAATCTCTCTGAGCCTCAGTTTCCTTCTCTGTAATCTGAGCATAGCAATACCTACTCAGAGTTGAGAGTGTCTACACATAGTAGATATTCAACAAATGTCCATTTCTGCCTCTGCACCTCAGCCCCATTTCCAGGGCTGCACCATCAATACTTCATTAAGATTCTCTTCATAGACAACAGTATAGTGATTGCTAGAGGGAAAGGGGGTGGGGGAGGTAGATGGGGGTAAAAGGGAATAAATGGTGATGGGAAATGACTTTGGGGTGGTGAACACATAATACACAATACAGATTCTGTATTACAGAACTGTGCACCTGAAACCTATATAATTTTATTAACCAATGTCACCCCAATACATTAAAAAAATTTGTAAAGGATTCCCTTGGTGGATGATCCTCAGTAAATGTTTAGTTCCCCTAGCTTCTCAAAATGCTTCTGTTTCCTTTCCTCCACCCCCAACAACATACTTAACAAAGGCTTAGGAATGCAAAGTCATCATCACATTGCCCAAATCTTGCAGAAAGATTTACCTCACTTGAATCAGTGAGGTAAAGGCCCTGAATGGGCATTCCGAATGCAAGGGGTGTGCTTTGCCAATTTCTTGATATTTAGCATGACCTGCCTCTTGGAGATACTGGTGTGTTGGCTGGAATTGAGCTGCAGTCTTCCAAGATCCTAGAGACTAGGAAAGGCCCAGGAACAAGCCCTGACTTGTCCAGCTCAGTTGGTTGGGCATCATTCCAGAAAGCAAAAGGTTGCAGGTTCATTTCCCAGCCAGGGCATATGCCTGGGTTATGCATGTGAAAGGCAACTGGTGTCTCTCTCCTCTCTTTCTCCCTCCCGTCTCCTCTAAAAATAAAATCTTAAAAAAAAAAATAGACCCAGAAACTAGGGGGTGAGGGGCAAGACTGAAGAAGGGTCCTACTCTGCCAGCCTCCCTCTTGCCTCCTTTCCAGTGTCTTCCTACAGACTGTTCTAAGATCCAGTTCTGACCAAGCGAGTCCTTCCTTAAAGCAGCTTACATCCCACGCTCCTTAGCTAAGCCACAGTGTTAAGCCTCCCCTCCTTTTTAGAATCTCCTACCAACTCCCAAGTTCTGCCTATTAAAATGTTTTTCAACCCTCAAACTTTAGACTAAATGCCCACCTCTTCCAGGAGATCCCCTGCCTGCCCTCCATCAGAGGGAGGCACTGCTACTTCAGTTTACCCAGTATTTGATTTCTGATCTGATCCAGTGAACTGTCTTCATGTCTGTCCCCTACACTCTGAAGATAATTGAGAACCCCAAAGAACTTTTTGTTTGCATGGGTTATATCTATTAATATTTACCATATTAAAACTAGAACCCTTTACACACTAAGATATTTTTTCAGCAAAATAACTACATTTTCCAAATAAAAAAGAAATTAGTAAGAAGGGTAGCACTGTTTTACATTTTTTCAAATCTCATTAATGCCTGGCTTAACAGAAGACAACTGTACTCTCATCTCCTGCTGCACGCAATGTGTCCCAATAGCACACAACGTTCAGCCTCTAGAAAACTGTACTGTATACTCACAACTGAGAGTGAAAATAATGTCAGTGTTGTTATAAAAATACATTTGAGGCCCTGGCTGGTGTAGCTTAGTGGATTGAGCTCGGGCCTGTGAAGCAAAGGGTCACCGGTTCGATTCCCAGTCAGGGCACATGCCTGGGTTGCAGGCCAGGTCCCCAGTGGGGGACACGTGAGAGGCAACCACACACTGATGTTTCTCTCCCACTCTTTCTCCTCCTCTCTCTAAAAATAAATAAATAAAATATTAAAAATAATAATAAATAAAAATACATTTGACCCCTCAAATCCTCAATGCAGTCCACATCTGAGGGTCCCAAAAAGGCTTGACCCTTAGACAAAAGCAGCCTGAGGCCCTACAGGGAGGGGGTGAATGGAGTAGAACTTGGGAGTTGGGGCAATCACCCAAGTACAAGAACTGCCTTAGGATCACAGAAGCTGTCTCCTTTGTTTCTTTTCTTCCCACTGAGTTCCCCAACTTTCTTCCTCCTTTATACCTTGGCTCTAGTGTAGAGTGAGAGAAGGGCATCAGAAAAAGCACACTTTGGATTCACCTAGTCCTACATTCACCTGTTTCTGTGTCTCACGAGCTGTGTGAATTTGGGGAACCCCGTTACTTAATTCTCGAAGCCTTAGTGCCATCATTTGAAAAATAGTTGTGCTGCCTCACAGAGTGACTAAAAGAGAGAAACTGCATGTAAGACCTCTTGACCGGGTCCTAACACATAACAGACATTCTACAGATGGCAGCTGGAAATATTATGCTGTCTCCCTACCTCCGGCCTGGCCTGATTCTCATCCTGTACATGGCTAACACAAATCAGATTAACCATCCCTTGCCTTTTCCCCTGAGGACAGCTGGGCCAGGCGGAGAATTTCCAAGAGAACTTCACTGATGGAGAAAGAGGCATGATGTGATCTCGTTTGCAGAGCATAAGTACCCTATCCTGCAATAACAGACAGCACCAACTGCCAGATTCCATAGCCCCTCTGAGTAGCCTGTCCTGAACAACCCTGTCTAAGGCCTTGCACACCTTCTCCTTCACCTCCGCCTTTCTCTTGTAGCCTGAGGGGTCGCAGGAAGTAGCCAAGTTTCCCCACTCTTGGCAGCACAGACATAACAGCCTATACGTACCATATTCTTCCTATAATGGCTTATTTCCTTGTCCTGGACATACAGGTGCTTTAACAGGGGCCTTCCACAGACCCAGGCTTGGCTAATGCCCCAAGCATCCTAAGGGGGAGGGACCGTGAACAGCTGGTTTTGTCCAGGGCTGTTAGGACTCACAGGCCTTGAAGCTGCCAAACCCTTACACTCAACTTCTATGACTTCCTCATGCTTGCAAAACAGCCCCCATTGTCCCCCTTCCCTCCCAGCACTCCTCACATGCTCACTCAGTACACACTTGGTCATACCCCCACACAGAGAGCACCTAGTGTCCTCCAAGCTCTCAGACACTACCTGTGCCTTTATAGACCGCTGCCTTGCACCAGGGTATTGACCTTAGCATTCTCAGCTGAGCTGGATTAAGGGACCATTTCATGCCTTTGCAAATTCCTTCTGGCTGCTGCGCTTTCCCCCACACAAAGCCAAAGTAGCCAGGACCCTGAGCCAGTCTGCCTATTGTAGCCTGAGAGCTGGTCTAGTCTGGTAGCCCATTCTCTCAGGAGGCACAGGCTATCCCTTTGATAGGGGCTTTGGGGTCAGGGAGTGGGCCCTTGGGGGTCTTGGGCTTTTGCAAGGACTCCAGAAAGCCATGCAGAGACTTGAGCCATGAAAGACTGCTCAGATATGATCCTGTGTGTGGAGTCGGCAGAACTGAGCAAGGTAAGGATCACAAGGAACCATTCTTCCAAATGCTAGCTGCCTGCCTAGGGCTGGCAGTGCCCGGTGGACTCTCCTGCCAGGCAGTGCTGCCACCTTGCCCTCAATCCTCAAGTCTCTCCCTTTCAGACTGAATTCTGCAATCCTGCTTTTGAGCCTGAATCAGGGTCACCTTGCTCTCCACTGGCCTTTCAGGAGGATGCCCGCTGTAGCATCCGAGCTCCCTGGCATGGTAACCATCTCACAAGCATGACCTTGGGGGTAGGACTGAGAGGTCCAAGAGCTGGAGGCACTGTGAGGGATGCCAGAGGGCAGGGGGCCTCAAAATTCCACCCTGCCTGCCCTCAGGTTGGCGTCCCCGAGGTCTGCAGCCAGACTGCCATTTCTCCTGGCTGTGTGTCCTACTGTTGGCCAGCTTGCTGCTCCTGCTGCTGGGGCTGCTGGTGGCCATCATCCTGGCCCGTAAGTACGCATGACCTGCTGGGGAGAAGGGCTTTCAAATGAGAATCCATGAGCTATGCTGCCTAACTCCCAGGGATCCAGTTCCTCTGAACCTCACTCCCCCATCTTCCTGCCTCCAGAGTTACAGGCCGTATCACCATTGGGGGCCTCCTACAATCCACTGCCTGCCAGAGGCCTCACCACCACTGGCACTTCCCCTACCATGACCACTACCAGCTCTCAGGCAACTGGGACCCCTCAAAGGCAGCAGGAGGCAGGCATGAGACCCACACCCCAGTCCAGTGAGTATTAAGGGCAGACCTTCCTGAAGGGCCCAAAATGGCTGGAGGGAGGGGGACCAAGAAGAGGCACCTTGGAAAAAAAAGGGTCTCTCTTCTTTTGAGCTTTGAGCTCTGAACTCTAACCTCTATCTCTGCAGCCTGTGGAGGCCTCCTTCCTGGACCAAGTGGCTTTTTCAGCAGCCCCAACTACCCAGGCCTTTACCCACCCAATGCCCACTGTGTGTGGCACATCCAGGTGTCCACAAACCATACTATACAGCTCAAGATTGAAGCTCTCAGCATAGAGAGTATGGCCTCCTGTCTTTTTGATCGCTTGGAAATCTTCCTCGAGCCCGATGGCCCCCTCCTCAGGTGGGTCCCTCTGCCCCCAGGAGGTCCCACTCCTGTCCTGAATCATTGTCTGGAACACAGAGCCAGGGAGCTACAGTGGGAAAGACTTGACTGGGACAAATTTGAGAGTCTTGACCTCTGGGCCCAGCTCTGCTATATAACCTTGGGAAGGTCACTTTCCCTCTCTAACCACATTTTCCAGATCTGTAAAATGGAGCCCCTATTTCCTTCCCCATGAATAAATGCTGCAAGGATAGATATACAGGTGCTAGGAAGATTAGAGCTCCCTAGGAAATGAAATTACCCTTTTTGACTACATTGTCACAAGTCTGAGGAAAGAGGACTGCAGGGCCCAGGCAGGCTCCATTCTGACTGGCCCTGTGCTCTGAGCCTCTATTACCCCCTACCTGGCTTCTTGCAGAGTATGTGGGAGGGTGCCTCCTGCCACACTAAATACCAATGCCAGTCACCTCCAGGTGGCCTTCGTTTCTGACAGCAGTGTGGAAGGATTTGGTTTCTATGGCTGGTACCAGGCTGTGGCTCATGGACATGGTGAGTGTTTTCCCACCGTGTCCCAGCTACATGTCAGTGGTCTACTTTACTCCCCTCCAGTCACTCCCAGGACTGGCAAAATGGCTAGAGATTCTGGTGTTTCTGAATTCAGATGCCTACCCCCCAATCCAGGAAACTGTGCCCATGATGAGTTCCCCTGTGACCAGCTCATCTGCCTGCTATCTGACTCAGTGTGTGATGGTTTTGCCAATTGTGCTGATGGCAGTGACGAGAACAACTGCAGTGCCCAGTTCTCAGGTACGGGCCCCGCCAGCCTCAGGGTGGGTGCTGTCTTCAGGTATCCGATCCAGGTTCAGGCTGAGCTCCCCAGCTCTGGCCCAGCCCCATAACTGCCTGGTAATTCTTCTAGCCTAAAACTTGCTTCCCACAGGCATGACCAAAACTCTCCTCTACAATTAATTTTGGCCTGTTGGGCAAAGGCACAGACACTGGCGAACTCATGAATGCCTCCTCCTCTCTACAGGATGTGGGGGGAATCTGACTGGGCTCCAGGGAAATTTCTCTACTACCAGCTACCTGCAGGAGTACCCTCACCAAAAGGTAAGCCAACACTCCATGGGGAGGGCAATGTAGCACCCATGGGCGCACCTGAGCACCCAGTTAGTGTGGCTATAAACAGCCTGATAGATACTGCCTAGTACTTGGGAAGGTCAGAAATCAAGCAGGCAGGAAGAGAGCATTACTAAGTACCTAATACATACCCAGTTGTTCCCATGCTCAGTAAACCTATCTCTAAGATGAGACAAGTTAAAAGTCCCTCCCTATCTGACGAAGTACTTATGATGAGAGCTAGGTGGGCAGTGCCCACCCACACCCTGCCTAGCCTGCAGCAGGAAGGCCTTCTGGCACTCAGCCTAGATGCCCAGATTGGGACCGAAGGAACCTGTGAAGTATGTCATCTGTGCCCTCCCTCAGCTTTGCACTTGGCATATCTCAGTTCCTGCTGGACATGGCATAGAACTACAGTTCCACAACTTCAGCCTGGAAGCTCAAGAAGAGTGCAAGTTTGACTATGTGGAGGTGTATGAGACCAACAACTCAGGGGCCCTCAGCCTCCTGGGCAGGTACCCATAGTGCCAAGGGAGGAGCCCAAGATCAAGTCCATCCTCCACAGCCTGCCAATCACAGCTTTCTACAAATTAGCCAAGTTACTCCTTAGCCTCATTTTCTTTGTTTACTCCAAGCCAAAGTCTTTTCACTGTCACCCTAAAAAAGCCTTTGTTCCTTACATCGCCCTCCTCCAGGAGGCCCTTTCCCAGTCCTAACCCTCTCCCATTTCTCCCACCTGCAGGTCCAATTCCACTTCCCTAAGGAACACTCGCTGATTTTTTCTATCTTTTTAAAAAATTATATTTTATTGATTTTGCTATTTCCGTTGTCCCAATTTTCCTGTTTGCCTCTTTCTACCCAGCAGCCCCCACGACCTCAGGCAATCCACCCCCACCATTGTTCATGTCCATGAGTCATGTGTATAAGTTGTTTGGCTACTCCATTTCCTATACTTTACTGTATATCAAAAAATATGGAATGCTTCACGAATTTGCGTGTCATCCTTGCACAGGGGCCATGCTAATCTTCTCTGTATCGTTCCGATGTATGTATGTGCCGCCGAAGTGAGCACTGATTTTTCCCATCTTAAAGGGGTTCAAGTTCAATGAATCCCTGAAATTCATTTAGTATTCTACTTTGTCTACTGAATACATGTATCTTCCTCACCAGACCCTAAGTTCCATGTCACAGATATGCCTGCCATCCACTCTGGCATCATCCAAAGCACCCAGCTCTGGGTGAGGCCTGTGGGCAGCCTCAGTGTACCCCAGCCAGCCAGGACCACAATGCCCAGTACTGCTTTCTGCTTTGGGCAGGTTCTGTGGAGCACAGCTACCCCCTCGCCTCGTCTCCTCACATCACCAGCTGGCTGTACTCTTTAGGACAGGTCATGGCATCAGCAGCATGGGCTTCTCAGCCATCTACCGGGCCCTCAATGCCACAGAGAGTAGGTGCCCTTCCGCAAGCAGCTGTGCACAGTAGAGGTGCCTCCAGGAGAATGGGGAAGGGCTCTGGATCCTGGTCAGAACACTGTGAAGGCAGCGGGGACAGACATATCTGCGGGCACTGCCATTACTCCTGTGCTTTATAGACCCCTGTGGACCCCAAGAATCCTCCTGCCAGGATGGAGGATGCAAGAGTTTACAGTGGATGTGTGACACATGGAGAGACTGCACAGACAGCAGTGATGACAAGTGCAGCAGCCCCTTGTTCCCATTCCCAGGTGAGAAGCCTGCATCGGGGCCCCATGGACAAGCACTGGCAGGCCTGAACAAGCTGGGTACCTGTTCATAACACTCTTCATAATGCCCATCCCTATCCTTCCTGATGGAGGGATTCACTATTCTGACTCTTCACAGAGTCCTGGGTCACCCCCAAGTTAAATGGGAATCTCAAGAACCAGTCCAGTCTAGTCACAGAAAGAGAGAAAGCCCTTCTCCACAGCCCACCTCAAAGAAGGTGAAATCAGGGAAGTTCCTTCTAGATGCTGAATGGTCTCTGCTAATGCTGGTGTCCCATGCTCCCTGAGATCAAAGAGGTGCCTGCATGGTGCCCAGGGCTGGCCACTAATGCTTGGAGCAGGCTCTAGCAGGGCTCTCCTGCCTGTGGCCTGCAGGCCACACCCAGCCCAAGATGGCTGTGAATGCAGCCCAACAAAATTGTAAATTTACTTAAAACATTATGACACTTTTTGTGTGTGATCACATGTCACAATGTATTTAATGTGTGGCCCATGGCAACTCTTCTTTTTCCAGCATGGCCCAGAGATGCCAAAAGGTTGGACACCCCTACTAGAGGATAACAGAATCCTCAAAATATGTAAAGCATCTCTCCATTTTATCTCCTTTGATTCTTACAACCCTCTTCTGACCCAATAGAGTGATTAGGTGACTTGCTCCTGATTACACAGCCAGGAGGTCCCCACAGTGACCCTCCCCCCTTACTCCTGCAGAGATGGCCTGTGAGCCCATTCGAGTGGAGATGTGCATCGGACTAAGCTACAACACCACAGCCTTCCCTAACATCTGGGTGGGCATGGCCACACAGGAGGAGGTGATGGAGGTTCTCAGAGGTTACAAGGTGCTCTGGGAAGAGATAAGAAGGGACCTTCCCCCACCCTCAGGAAGGGGAGGGAGCCTGTGGTGCAGGTGCTTGAGGGCTGATCTCTTTCCACAGAGCCTGACAAATCTATCCTGCTACCAGAATTTCCGGAGGCTCCTCTGTGGGCTGCTGGTGCCCCACTGCACCCCACTAGGCAGTATTCTTCCTCCCTGCCGCTCTGTCTGCCAGGAGGCAGAGCACCAGTGCCAGTCTGGTCTGGCACTACTGGGTATCCTCTGGCCTTTCGACTGCAACAGGCTGCCTGAGGCAGCTGGCCTGGGGTCTTGTGCCCAGCCCTGATCCTGAAGTGGACTCCTCCTCTGCCTGCCCATTCTCCTTTGCCTATCAGGGTGGGCAGGCAGGGCAACAAAGGAAGGGGGACCAGCATGGAACTTTGCCCATCCTCTCTGGGGCCTCCCAAGAAGGGGAGAAATCCTCAGCCGGGCTAATGAGACCCTCCCACTCTCCCAGCTCCTTCCTCAGACCCAGTTGCCACTGGAAACAGGCCTGGCTCCAGGCTGTGCCATTGACAACCTAGACTGTTTCCCATCCAAACCCCTGTTTCCTATCAACTGCCTTCTCTCCCTCTGCAACTGCTTTTCAAGGTTTCCTTTTCATTTATTCAGTGAATCTCTAGTAATGTGGCAGGCCTTGTCCTAAGTCCTGGGTACTCAGCTACCTGCCTCTAGAATTCTCCTCCCTCAGTTCTCAGCTTATATTTCTCCTGGACTTGAGTCTTGTCCTTAGTCTCTGTCACTCACTCTCTCCTCTCGGCTCCTTGGAGCAATAGGTACCCTGAGTGTCTGTCTAGCGGTTCTGACTCTGTGTCCGGCTTCAAGTCTCTCTCCTCCTCCTTTCTCCCCCCAAATTTTGGCCAGACGCCTGGCACACCACGAGTTATTTCCTTGCTATTTCCCGGCGGGAGCTCTTGGTTTCCTTTTGGAGTCTGGGAGGAGCAGCACAGAGCAGGCAGAGAGCGAACTAAGCAGGACCAGGGGGACCGTGCGGGCTCCTGGCGCCTGGCTAGAGAGAAGTGCAGAGGCGGGAGCAGAGGTCAGCTGGAGGGTCCGAAGAAGAAAGCATCTGGAGGGAAGCCATAGAGAGAGGGAGCCGCGCCGGGAGCCGGGAAGGGGGTGAGCCTGGTGGAAGGGAATGAGGATTGGGGAGGGGACTGTGAGAAAGACTAGGCTCGGGCCAGGGTTGGGGTAGAGGGAGGAGCCCGGCCTCTCCCTTCCTTCTCAGCCGTGCTCTCAAGGTTCTCGGGTCTATGGGCAACCCATTTCTTTGCGTTCCTGCAGCTGCTCAGCTACAGGGATATGGCAGGGGAGGGGGGGCGGGGAATTAACCTGGGGCGGAGGGCAAGGTAGGCCCCAATGTTCTGGGCCCGACTCCTGTCCTGCCCAACCCACAGACTACCAGAGGACCCCGGAGTTCGGGTTCCCAGTGCCAGCGCCATGAGGCCGCTCCTCGCCCTGCTGCTCCTGGACCTGGCGGCTGGCTCACCCCCGCTGGACGACAACAAGATTCCCAGCCTGTGCCCAGGGCACCCTGGCCTTCCAGGCACGCCGGGCCACCACGGCAGTCAGGGCCTTCCTGGCCGTGATGGTCGAGATGGCCGAGACGGCTCGCCCGGGGCTCCGGGAGAGAAAGGCGAGGGCGGGAGGCCGGGTAAGAGCACCACAGCTACATCGGAGCTGGCAGGGCCCCTGCTCCAGCTCTGCAGGGCTCAGAATTCCCGCCAGGGGGCGCCACTCCGATCCCGCCCATTTACGCTCTGCCCTGGGAGGAAATAGGAAAGAGCGACTCAACCCGCGCGATCAGGACCCCTGGGACTCTCTTGGACCGGCGGGTCAGATATGCCCCAGCCCCACAGGACATCGGGTGGAGGGGGTGAGGGAGGAGAGGGAGGCTAGTGTGCTGGGCAGGACAAGAGGGGAGGTTTGGACTGGGGAGATTAGAGAGAACAGGGAGGCTCCTCAGAGACGCCCTCTGTGCACACCACTTCGGGTGGACCGGCCCCTGCACTCACCCGAACTTCTCCCCTTACCCCCCTCCCCCCACAGGATTACCGGGGCCCCGTGGGGAGCCTGGTCCGCGAGGAGAGGCGGGCCCTATGGGGCCAACCGGGCCTGCGGGGGAGTGCTCGGTGCCTCCGCGCTCCGCCTTCAGTGCCAAGCGCTCTGAGAGCCGGATGCCTCCGCCGTTAGACACGCCCCTACCCTTCGACCGGGTGCTGGTGAACGAGCAGGGTCATTACGATGCCACCACTGGCAAGTTCACCTGCCAGGTACCAGGGGTCTACTACTTCGCGGTCCACGCCACCGTCTACCGGACTAGCCTGCAATTTGATCTGGTCAAAAATGGCGAGTCTATCGCCTCTTTCTTCCAGTTTTTTGGGGGATGGCCCAAGCCAGCCTCTCTCTCCGGGGGCGCTATGGTGAGGCTCGAGCCCGAGGACCAGGTGTGGGTGCAGGTGGGTGTTGGTGATTACATTGGCATCTATGCCAGCATCAAGACTGACAGCACCTTTTCTGGATTTCTGGTGTATTCTGACTGGCACAACTCCCCTGTCTTTGCTTGATTGCCCACTGGAAATTGAGCCTACACTTTCTCACTGCAGGGGGACAGGGCAGGGGGTGGGGTGGGTGGGGCGCCATCCTGTTAGCCACATCGTGGGTGAAGGTTGGCCCCCTGGAATATTGTGAATGACTAGGAGGGCTAATGGTGGCCTGTCCAGACCTGCTGCTGTCAGGGAATGGGGACAGAGGCTATCTGAAATCAGGGCTTGCAGCACAGGAGACCGGCTGGATTTCTGCCCAAGACCAGAGGAGTGTACTGTGCTGGCAGGTGTAGGTACTCTGGCTCAGGACCCCAAGGAGAGGTGCTCTTTTCCTGGTTGTCTGCTTCGCTGAATCCTCCCTTTTCCCTTTTCTCCTGGGCCGTTTTCTTAGACACCATTCAATAAATCTTAATTTTTAAAAAAAAACACCTCAAATTGCTTCAGCCGTTCTTCTTTAGTGGGGAGGATGCCCTCATTCTGAGGATGGGGGAAGGGGCAAGATAGAAGGAGGAGAAGGGAGGGCTCTTGGACTGGATGAGCTAAGGGGCAGGAGATACAGGAGGCAGATCCAAGTGAATGAAAGGCCGCTCAAAAGTTGCCCCTGTGTAGGTCGTGAACAGGAGTACCTAGCTGAGAAGGGTATCCTCCTGGTACGGGGCTCTGGACATCTTTTTCTAACTCAGAGATGTCATATGAACTGGGTAGGTGCTACTTTTACCACATACACCCCTCATCAACAAATAAGGATTCAGAGATTTTAATTTATGACTTTTCTGCTGCTTGCGTACTTTTCTTCTGGTCCCTTGATGACTGGACTGATTGGAAGGCTGTTTCACTATCCCCCACTGGCAGGGAAATGGAGTGTCCCTGGATGTTTAGATAAGTAGTTTCTGAAATGACCACAAGAGGGCGCCCCAGCTCTAGAATGCAGCAATAACGCTTGAGCTCTTGACTACTGGGTTGGTTAGGGGGAGAAAGGATACAGATATAGACCAGTGGAATTGCAGATGGGGGTGGAGAGAAAAGGGCCCTCCGCTCTCAGTTCAGGAAGTTTATCTTCTCTCATAAAATGTTTATTATCACATTAAACAGACTGTTAGGAGCTAAGGCTCTCCTTGTTTGGCTCACCTCCCAGGGTTGGGGAAAGGCAAGAAAAAGCCCTCCCTCAGGCCTCCCAACTCCAAAGTGGAGTTTGGAATGAACTCTGCCTCTGCTATGCTGGGCACAGCCTGGGTGGGCTCCGCCACCAAGTCTGAGCCCTTCCAGACCCCCCTCCTCTGACCTTCAGAAGCCAGCCCTGGCCCCACACCCCAACCCAATAACTAACAAACCAGGGCTTGCCAAGTCCGTATCAGCTCATCCGTATCAGCTTAAGAGAAAGTGGAGGGAATCTGTTTCTTTCTGACCTACCTCTTTTCCCTCTTTCTCCACTTCCAGAAGGCTGTTCCTGGCATTATACTCTTAGATTTAACAATTATGGGGGAATGTCCCCCTCTCTCTTGTTGACCATGTGAGGGCAGATATGGCCAGTGGGGACTGGGCTAAGTAAGCTAGAGACAAGCATCAGGAGTAATGAGCTTCAACTCCATGCTCTCCACCGGGTCCCACAGCAATACTCTAGCACATCACAGTGCCATTCTATGCCAAGAGACAGAGACAGCACTAGCTCCTGCAAGGCTGAGAGAGTAGACTGGACACCAGGTGACAGGAACCCCAACCCAAGTTCCCTCCTGGGAAGACTGGCACCAGAGGAAAACCTGGGATGTGAAAATTCACACTTCTCTCTACTAGGGCTTAACTTCTGGTAAAAATAGAAAAGGAAGGGCTTTCCAAAAGGCATGTGGATGAGGGCACAAATTGGAGGTGATGAAAGCCAGCCACACCTGGCATGGACTTTCATCAAGGCACAGACCATCCTATCTTCTCTTCCCCCACCAACCAAACTTGTGAGTCCAGCAGGACTGAAGGGCCCTGCTATAGTCAGTTACCCTAACCAACTGTTCACCCTTGCAAAGATGCACACACAGGCTGTCAGTTGTCAACAAAACTTTATTCAATGGAAACAGCCAGGAGACCCCTCAGGGAACTGCATACCCCTAGGTCCTGGCCCCTACTGTTTGGACCCTAGTGAAATGTGCATAGTCTACCCTCCCCAATGCCAGGAAGAGAAACAGAAGGGGAATGCCATTATTCTGTGATGTGGGGAATGAAAGGGATATAAATAGAAATAGAAATCTGGTTCTCTTTCCTGAAGCTCCAAATGGAGCTGGGGTATGAGGATTCGTGGTCCCAAAGTCAGATGCAGATACATGCCCTGACCTCAGGGATAAATTCCTGACCCCAGCTATTGGATTATGTTTGGAAGGTGCTTCGTAAGATCATGACAGGCAAAACTGGTAGCTCTAAGGGCAGCCAAAACATATCACACACAAGAACTGTGCCTGAAAGCAAAGGTTCAAGATCATCCCAAGGCCCTTGAATTGCCAAAACGCCCAAATGACACTGATGTGCTGTGGCTGAAAAAGCTGGGAAGGCAGTAGGGAGGGGCCAGGGAGAAGACCTGCAAATCCCCAACAGAAAAGCCAGAAGCAGAGTAAGGGAGCCCCACAGGCTGGCATTTGGGTTGGCCCTGGAAAGCTGGAGGGGTATCCAAAGCAAACAGTCTCAGGGTCTAGCATAGTGACATACCACCCTCAACATCACAGGGACCCAGACTCAAGAGAAGCTGTTGCCCTGTCCCCACCCAGGTCACAGTCTTCCAGGGTATCTCATCTCTCAATGTCCTGGATGTATGGCTTGGAGGCTTGCCATGACAGCCATGGGGGCAGAAGGGGATTCAAGCCAGGATGGAGAGATCCGGTGTTAACACTGTTCTACTACAGGTGCCTGTGAGAAGCATGGAGCTGAAGTTGGCAAGGAGGGTGGGAGTTTTCAGAGGTAGACATTGAGGGTCTGCAGAATGCCCTGGCGGCAGAGTGGGCAGTTACGGTGGTAGACTGGGTGGCACATCAGAATTTCAGTGCAGGCCTGGCAGAGACACAGGTGCCGACAAGGAAGAAGCAGCACTGTCTTGCTCTGGTCCTGGCAGATAACGCACTTCTTCCGCTCCTCCTGCTCCTTCAGCAACTTCCATGGGTCTTGCCCAACTGTAGACTCCTCCTCATTAAGTCTCTCCCTGACTGCTGTGGTCACTCTGACTTCCTCCTCTTCTGCCTCTGATCTGATCCCTGCTTCAGGAAAAGTCTCCTGTCGCCAGGTCCTGGCTGAGGGCACCCTCCCAGGGCCAACCTGGGGAGCCCCAGGTGCCCCTCCCCGATTCGGCCAGCTTGCCAGCTGCAGGCTACGGCTCCAGGCTCGGCGCCAAGTATCCAAGCCCAGTACTAGGTGAGACAGCCGCACAACATCCTCTCGAAGCTGGTGGTAGGATGGCCAGGCATAGAGCTGACTGAGTGCCCAGGTAGCCAGCCTCGTGGTGAGGTCCGGGTGCAACATAGTCACTGCTACTGCCAGCACACAAGCCACCAGCACCAGGCCGGTGAGATTGACAAGCACAAAGCTGGCCAAGAGGCGGGCAGCTGAGGCCAGGAGCTCCAGTGCTAGTTGGCAGGGGGTCCAGAGAAGAATGGCCATGGCTACAGCACTGCTGGAAATGTGAGCTACGAAGGTAGCCATAATGTCCATCATCCTCCACAGTGGCCCCATCACTGCATCCCATAGGGCCAGCAGTAGGGAGAAGAGATTCTGAGTGCCAATGAGGCAGATGTTGACCAAGCTGTTGATCACGTAGGCCACCAGGCTCATGGCAATGGCACAGATGTCACAGGCCTGATGCAACAAAGCATGGCCATTGGAGACCACATTGAGGATGCATCGATGCAGTATATCCCGGCTCCTCAATGCCCCATGAGAGGCTAGGTGTCCCAGGAGCTTTAGGCTCTCCAGGCCTGAGCAGCATCTGTAGAGCAGGGTACAGAAGGCCTGAAAGCCTCCCAAAATTAACCTGACCAAGGCTTCCATCAAGGCCAGCAGTGAAAACAGTACTCCGCAGCCCAAGTGCATTAGACTAGTCAGTACAGTGTGTGGCAAGTTGTAGATGAAGGCTAGAAGCCAGGCCAGGGAAGCCAGGAGGGAGGACACCAGCAGGAAGTTGAGGTCCAATACCAAGGTCAGCACGTCCAGCACTAGGCCCACACCATTCACCACCAAGTATAGAGCCTCCATGATGGGGCTACGGAGGTTAGTCAAAAAGAAGTCTAGCTCTTGGTTGATGGAGATGGCAAGGTTGCCAAAAAACGGGGGGGGGGGGGCAGTCAGGGGCTGATTGGAAAGGTGAGAAGTCTCCAACTAAGGGAGAGAATCAACAATCTGAAAAGGAAGTGAGTTAGAGGTGAGTGAGGTCTCAGTGGAGGGAACGAGGACCAGGTGCCTGTCCAGGAGTGCAGGTTTTGAAGGCTGGCTGTTTGGGCGGGAAGAAGCCAAACATTTCTAAAGTGGAGGTGAGCCCGGAGTGGAGAAGAGTCCTCAGCTACTGGTGGTGTACCAAAGCCAAGCAATCAGTCAGAATAAGAGGAGACCCCTGACGGTTGGGATAGGGCCAGGGCCGGGGCCGGGGCCGGGGCCGGGTGGGGAAGCGCAGGCTGGACGCGGGCTCGCGGTCCAGCTACGCAGGTTCCCCTGTCCCCGCCCGGCCCCCGTCCTCTGGGCTCGCGGCGCTTTGCGCCCAAAGAAAGGGTAGGAAAGGGAGTCAACCTCAGCAAACTCCAGGCCCGGCCTCCACTCCGCCGCGCGCCGCCATCTTGTATGCGAAGAGGTGGGGACAAACCCGTGACCGGAGGGAGGGACGACGAACTCTGGTCAATCAGCTAGAACCAACCGCAGGGGACGTCGAGCACTCATTGGTCCGTTTAAAAGACGCTCAAAGAAGGGGAGGGTACTACAGACTAAATCCGCCTTCCTGAGGCAGTGATTGGCCAGTTGAGATCCCATCCGAATATATATTTGTGAAGCTTCGCGCGATCTGCCAAAAAAAAAAAAAAAAAGGATAGGGGTAGGGAAAGGATATCCTTTCCCTAGTCACTATTGCTTCAATTTCATACTCGTAGCGAACTCTTCATCTCCACGCTGGTCTGAACTCCAGAAAGTCTCTGTCCCCCTTCACCCATCCCTGAACACTGCCCGAATCCTTTATTCCCTAAAGTGCCACTGATAAAAAACTGAGATAGTGACAGGAGAAAAACTTTGAGACGTTTCAAATTAAGTGACAGCTGCTGGAAATTGAGAGAAAGAGACCAGAATAATTAACCAGTTAATAGCTGTGGGCCAATTAACAAAAGAGTGCATGTTGGAGCTTTAAATCAATAATCTACTAGTGGCCACTATATGTTGCCTGTAACCAATCAAAAATAGTAAATATTTGTGTTGTTGGAGCAGGGAGCGATTATTTTTTTTAACTTTATTTATTTTTTGAAAAGATTTTATTTATTTATCTTTAGAGGGGAAGGGAAGGAGAGAGGGAGAGAAATATCAGTGCATGGTTGCCTCTCATGTGTCCCCTGCTGGGGGCACATGGCCTGCAACCCAGGCATGTGCCCTGACTGGGAATTGAACCTTGGTCCTTTGGTTCGCAGGACTGTGCTCAGTCCACTGAGCTACACCAGCCAGGACTGGTAGTGATTATGTTTGCTTTTTATCTGAGTAGTTTGGTTTTTTGGGATGTTGAATTGTCTGAGTTCTTTATAAATTTTGTATATTAACCCCTTATCAGATGTGTCATTGACAAATATCTTCTCCCATTCAGAGGTAATCTTTCCATTTTGTTGATGGGTTATTTTGCTGTGCAAAACCGTTTTAGTTTGATGTAGTCCCATTTGTTTAGTTTTTCTTTGCATGAGGTAATATGTCAGACAAAATATTGCTAAGATAAATGTCAGAAACTTTACTACCTATGTTTTCTTCTAGTTTTATGGTTTCAAGTTATATATTTAAGTCTTTAATCTATTTTGAATTTATTCTTGCATGTAGTGTAAGAAGGTGGCCCAGTCTCACTTTTTGGCATATATCTGTCCAATTTCCCAACACCATTTATTGAAAACTGTCTTGACCCATCCTTTATCATAGAATAATTTACCATGTAGGCATGACTTTATTTGTGGGTTCTCTATTTTGTTCCATTGATCTTTGTGTCTGTTTTTATGCCAGTACTATGCCATTTTGATTACTATGGCCTTGTAGTATAGTTTGACACTATAGTTCGATGTTAGGCAGTGTGATACCTACAACTCTGTTCTCCTTTTTCTTTTTTTTACTTTTTTTAAAGATTTTATTTATTTATCTTTAGAGGGGAAGGGAAGGAGAGAGGGAGAGAAACATCAATGTATGGTTGCCTTTCGTGCATCCCCTGCTGGGAACTGGCCTGCAGGGAACCTGCCTGCAACCCAGGCATGTGCCCTGACTGGGAATTGAACCAGTGAGCCTTTGATTCTCAGACCAGCACTCAACCACTGAGCCACACCATCCAGGACTATCTGTATCTTCTTTTATTTCTTTCTTTAATGTTTTATAATTGTCTGAGTACAGGCATTGTACCTCCATGGTTAAATTTATTTCTAGGTGTTTTATTTTATGCAATTGTAAATGGGATTTAGTTTTTAATTTCTCTGATAGAGATTATTGGTGTATAAAATACACATTATTAGAGTATAAAAATGCAACCAATTTCTAAATATTTATTTTGTATCCTGCTACTTTACTGATTTTTTTTATGAGTTTAAGCAGATTTTGGGTGGAATATTTCAGGTGCTCCTAAATAGACAGTTCTCCAAAAACAATACACAGATTGCCAGTAGACGTATGAAAAGATTCTCAACATCATTAATCATTAGAGAAATGAAAATTAAAACCACAGTGAAGTATCACCTCACATCTGTCAGAAAGGCTATCATCAATAAATCAACAAACAAGTATTGGTGAGGTTGCAGGGAAATGTGAACCTTTGTGAACTGTTGGTAGGAATTCAGATTGATGAAACCATTGCGGAAAACAATATGGAAGTTCTTCAAAAAAAATTAGAAATGTAATTGACTTGTGACCCAGAGATTTCACTTCTGGGTATATATCTGAAGAAACCCCAAACACTAATTCAAAAGAACATTGCAGCATTATTTACAATAACCAAGGCATGGAATCAACCCAAATGTCCATCAAGAGACAAGCAGATTGCCCCAAATGATGTGGCATCACCCCACAAAGCAAAAGGTAACCGGTTCAATTCCTGGGAATTGAATCGGTTGCAGGTTCAGTCCCTGTTATGTATGAGAGGCAACAGATCAATGTTTCTCTCTCACTGATGTTTCTCTTCTACTCTTTCTTCCTCCCTTCTCCTCAAGAAAGAAAAGGAAGGAAGGAAGGAAGGGAGGGAGGGAGGGAGGGAGGGAGGGAGAGAAAGAGACGGGTGGGAGGGAAAGCAATGGTATATATATACATTGGAATATTACTCAGCCATAAAAAGAACAAAATCCTACCATTTGTGACAGCATGGATGACCAAGAGTAGGGGTGTCAAACTCATTTTCACTGGCGGCCAAATCAGCCTTGCAGTTGCCTTCAAGGGGCCAAATGTAACTTTAGGACTGTATAAATGTAACTACTCCTTAACTAGGGGCTAGGAGCTGAGCGCTGCCACTGGGTAGAAACAAGGTGCTGGGCCAGATAGAACAAGGTGGAGGGCCAGATTCAGCCCATGGGTCTTGTGTTTGCCACCTGTGACCTAGAGGGTATTATGCTAATGGAAATAAGCCAGATACTTATAAGACAAAGACTATATAATTTCACTTATAGGTGGAATTTAAAGAATAAAATAAACAAACAAAATAGAAACAGACTTACAGATATAAAGAACAGACTGATGGATGCCAGAGGGGGAGGTGGGTTGGGGGACTGGGTGGAAAAGGTGGAGATTAGAAGTGCTAATTAGTTGTTACACAGTTACAGGGATATAAAGTAAAGCACAGGAGATACAGTCAATAATGTTGCAATGATTGTGTATGGTGCCAGGTGGGTCCCTGAAATACCAAGGGGTACACTTTGTAAAGTATATGATTTCTAACCATTATGTCATGCACCAAAAACTAATATGAAATAATGTTGAATGCAAACTGTAACTGAAAAATAAAAATTTAAAAATAGCAGATTGTTTTTACAGACTGACCTCCTTTCACCTTATCCCACCCACCTTATCTGTAACCGATGTAAATTCTTTCAAACAACTTACATCTTTCTTCCTCAAAATGTAATGTATAAAAGCCCCCATCACCTCAAGGACTGAGGACATGCTTATCTCTTCCACCTGGCCGTGCTGCTGGTGGTTAAGACTGCATGCTCTGCACCTTTTCTGGGTCGCAGTATGACCCAATAAACCTTTTTCTTTCCATTCAAAAAGGTTTTCAGGAGACTTCCAGTCAAGATAGTGGCATAGATAAACATGGCTCATCTCCTCACACAACCACATCAAAATTACAACTAAAATATAGAACAACCATCACTCAGAAACGTCAGAAATTGAGTGGAATGGAAGTCTAACAGCTATGGAATTTTTAAAAGTGCATCCATCCAGACTGGTAGGAGGGGTGCAGACATGGAATAGGCTGATCCCACATTCACATTTGGTGGCTAAAATACAGGAGGGATATCTCAGGAGTGAGGAGTCCCAGCCTCACAAGCCACCACCCCCCCTCCAGCCCAGGGTTCCAGTACCAGGAAGATAAGCACCCCTAACTTCTGGCTGCAAAAAACAGCTGGGATTGAAAGTTGAAGAAATTTCTGGAGTCCCAAGCAGTTCCTCTTCAGGAACCCACACACAGACACAGACTCACTCCCTCTAAACTCAAGCACCAGGGTAGCAGATTGAAAGTCACCAGTGGCATATAGGGAGAAAGTGAAGTGTCTGGTAATGCAGACCTTGGCCTGCAGGGTCCTTGGTCTTGTGGCTGCAATGGGCAAATTCACATGGACTACAGAAGTCCTATGGAGAAAAAGGGACTGCATGGATGCTCTCTAAGTGAGAGAGAGAGAGCCCCAACCCCTGCCTGAACAGGCTTTTATTGCTTTTCTGGGTACATTATATCAAAGATGATCCTCATTTACTATGCACAGGTTCACTGTAGGTGATTACCTTCTACAGATAACAAAGGAAAGAATGTTGCCAATTACTTCAAAGAGAAGGATGTGGCAGCTGAAGGGGAAAAGTGGTTGAACTGGTTACACTCCATACTTGGGAGGTTTAGCACAGATTTTAGGATGTGACTTTAGAGATATGCAGTAAACATTTCTGCCTCAATTCAGGGTGAGGGAGTTTTAGCAAAAGCAAGCCTCATAGCAGCCTGGGTACAATGCAGGCCTGATTCCCTACGGGAAAACCTGTGGGGGAAACCTGTGGGTTCTGTGTGCTGACCTCGCTCCCCACTGGCCTTTCTGAATAGGGGCTGGGCTACATTCTCCATGCAACATGGAATGGTCCCCTATAGTCTGGCATCAAGATGAGAGCTGGGAACAGCCTTCTCCCAGACAGAAAGGTGGGCCATTATCTCTTTTCTGAACTCTCACCCGATAGAGCCACAGAATGGGCAGGCAGGTACCATAGCTGAGACTATCAACCAGATACTTTTTGCCCTACCCTGGATATCCCAAGAAACTCCATTCCACCCAACTTGCAGGCCCACCCAAGCTTCTTTTCCATATGAATGGCTGCTCTTGACTCATGCTTCACAACACTCTAAATCTTTTCAAACCAGCAACAGCCTCAGTGAGCTCCCAA